CTACAAATGTTGAACTGTGATGATGTACTTGTTACAATACCCCTCTGAAGTCGCCCCTCACTGTAGTTTCCTAATAGAATTTCAACAACCCTACTTCGCTCTGCATTTGTTAACTTCTTCCATTTGTTGGTAGGTGCAGGAGCAATTAAAGTCATGGAAACATGTGCCTGGGTTGATGTGTTGTTGTGGCTGGCATGAGGAGTTGTAGGAACTTCAGGCTCTTCAATGCTCATTTTGTTGTTGTTGTGAGAGTAAATGAAGAAAAGATAGGGTAGATATAAATAGAGTGTAATGGGAGGGAAATTCAAAATATTTGGCCGAAATGTTGGAGGGAGTTTTTTGTGGTTGAAAGTGTTTAGCATAGATGAGATTGTTTGGCAAAGATGGTGTAATAGTATTAGATGTGATATGTAATGAGTGTTATTGAAATTAAATGACTTTTTGTGATATTTAATTTTTTACCCCAGTACTGTTCATTACCCCCTTCCGTTTATTTGCTCTGGCCGCAGCCCTTAAGGCTAATTTTGGAAAGTCAAAGGCAAAAATTAATCTACCTAAAAGTGTGTGAAAGTCAAACCGAAAGGTTGTTTTCAGGAAGGAAGGAGTATTATAATATTACTTACATTTTATTATAAAAGTCACATTTTAATTGTACTCACAAATAAGTATTTGTTACAAATTACTTACATCTTAGTTACATTAAACTCACATTTTCTTATATAAAGTGATATTTTAGTTACATTTTTATATTAGTTGCATTGTATTTGTACTCACATTAACATAATTGTTACAATTTAACCCCCCCCCCCTCCCCCGGTCCTAAATAAACTTCACACAAATTAAGAAAATAAATTTGATTTTACTGTAGATTACACTGTTGTGACACTGTTTGACACTGTTTTGCACTGTTTTGATGTAGATAATTTGCCAAACAAGGAAGGGAGAAGAAGTGTGAAGTTTATTTTGGACCTACCCAAAAAGGAAAGTGTGAAGTTTATTTAGGACCGGAGGGAGTATTTGTTTATATTTAAGATGGAACGACGTAGACATTATGTAGATATGATTAACCTCCAACACAGCTGAATGAAGGAGATTGCGAAAAACCATCCTAATTTGCGAAAAACCTTCCGAGATGATTTTGAGATGACTTACAACCGTACCGGGGAGATGTGATGCCCGATGAGCAACTGGCTCATTTGTTGAACCAAGGACATAAGCAATTTTACCAACAAGAAGACATTCCTGAGATCGATGAAGAGCTCGAGGATGACGACGTCGAAGAGGAACAAGGCGACGAGGGAACACTCGACGAGGACGAGCCTGGTTCATTCCAACCCGGTCAGAAAGGTGAATCTCTCCTCATGAAAAATAATTATAAAAAGTGGAAGGACCCCCAAACCGAGAAGTGGTGGGCAACTTACAAACATTGTGACAAAAATATAATTTTGGGGATTTCGCAAGGATACGGCGGCGCCGATAGGCATATTAAGATCTGTCACCCCATGGAGTATGCAAAATTAAAAGACAATGGGAAGCAAACACAAATATCGAGGTTTGCAATTGGCCAACCTTTTGGTAATTTCTCCTATGATGATTCCAAACATTTAAGTGCTTTGTCTGAATTAATTGTTGAAGAAAATTTATCTTTTATTTTTTTTGAAAGACTTGCTTTAAAAATCATTAAAAAAGAGGTAATAAGGCAATATGTTTTGGAAAAAGATATATTAAAAATGTTTTTCGCAAACTTTGATGGACATGTTAGTATTTGTTGTGATATATGAGACTTATCATCATTTGTATTATTTGGGTGTGACTGTACATTACATTAATGATAATTGGGAAATGCATAAACATGCTATTGCTTTTCGTGAATTTAATGACCAACACACCGGTGATAATATTTATATTCTCATTGAGCATATTTTACCTGAATATAATTTGCTTGATAAGGTGTTTGCTATGGTTTTTGATAATGCTAGTAATAATATTGATGCTATACTAGATTGCGTGAATTGTGTGATCCTATTACTTTGATGGGTAGGTTTTTTCACCAGCGTTGTACATGTCATATTCTCAATTTATGTGTAAAAACGGGCTAGTCGCATTAGGAAATGTTATGGACAACGTGAAGGGGGTATTAGACTTATTTGGGCTAATAATCAACTTAAAGTGCAATGGCGTGAATATTTGAGGGCTAGACGTGTGAAATAGTGTGTTTTTCCTAAAGATTTGTCTATTCGCTGGAATAGTATTTACAACTTAATTACTGTACTTATAACATTTAAAACTATTTTCCTGTTTTTTTAAAAGAATATACTAACTATATTATAAATCCGGCTGAGATCGACATTATACAAAAAATTGTCAATGTTTTGGTATATATTAATAATGCAACTCAATCTTTTAGTCATGTTTATAAACGTACCACAAACCAATTTTATGTTGAAGCTGTTAATCTCGCCGGTTTATTTTCTGAATTTGAAACTGCCCCTTACATTCATTATTTTTGTTCTTTCACAAAAGAAAAGTTTTTAAAATATTATTCACATATTTCGCATATATATGATATTGCCTTTATTCTTGATCCTCGTTTCAAACTTAATGCTTTTCAAAATTGTTTAGAGTACTATTGTGGTTGTTTTTTGTCCATTACCTATGTACGAAGATAAGCCCATAGATCCTAAAAATCAATAGAACGAGGCTACTAACTTATTTCATCAGTTATATAATGAGTTTCATGCATAATATGGTAACACACCCCCTCCCCTGACACAAACATCTTCTTCATATAAAGGAAAGTCATTTTTGAAATCCACATTTGATAATCTTATGAAAAAAGTAAATCAACTCTCGTTGTTGCACAAAACTCGATTAACGAGCTTTCTTTATATTTAATGATTCCTGTTAACTATGAAGAAGGTGATGACTTTGATGTTCTGTAGTGGTGGAAAGACAAAAAGAGAACGTTCCCGATTTTATCGAAGATAGTTAAGCAAGTACTATCAATGTCGATATCAACAGTTGTCGTGGAACAAGAATTTAGTACAACCACCAACGTGCTAACGAATTATAGAACGAGATTGAGCGCAAAATCTCTTGAGGCGCTCGTTTGCTTCCACGATTGATTGAAGATCCGGCGTAGAACTCAAGAAGTTTACATCGTCCCCACCCGCCACTTAATGGAGTAAACAACAACCGACGGTGCCGGAGTTTCCAACTGATTTTTAGGAAATGTATTTAATGTTTTAAATTATTCTCAATTCTCTAGTGTAGTTCTTATTTCAAATAAATATACATTAAAATTTTTATTGTCTAGCACTTGTTGAATTAATTTTTGAACAAAACTATCAAAAAAAAAAGCAAGACCTGTCGAGAGGCCCACCCCGGTAGCCCGGCCCGACCCAGTCCCAGACCCGGGCCTAATACCCTAAGCTCCAGTCCCGCCCTGACCTGTCTCGGGCCCAGCCCAATCCACCCCTAATTATAACTTATAAGCATGCAGAATGAAAATAAAAGTATGCATCTACTCCGTATTAAAAACACGTTTTTTCTGTTTCTTTAATCTTTAAACTTTATAAAAGTGCCTCAGTCATCACTATCAATTCCTTAAATATAGGGGTGAGCGTGGTCCGTAACGCTCCGGTAAACTAGTAAAACCCGTAATGTATCCGTTAGGTTTTTAACATTCCGGTACGGTCTGGTTTCAAGGAACCGTTCGGTACCATGCCATTTCGGAACGGTACAAAACGGTACAGTACAATGCCAAACACATGCTAAAAAATTTGAACAAATCTTGCAATTGGTAGATATCTTCACACCAACCAACTCACATGAAATATTGATATAAATACAAGAAATTGCATATGTAGTATTAAAATTCACAAATACATAAATAGTGCAACGCAACTAAGAAAAAGAATAGCAAAACGATGACGCAAGAGATAAATATCATCTTTAATTTACAAACTTACTGTGAAAATATAAAAAAGAATATGATCAAATTGTTCAATATAATATAAATCTTCAATGTTCTTCTTCTTCATTCTAGGTTAAATATTACATATTAATATCTAATTTAATTTATAGTTGAACCTTGAGAGCTAAGATTTAAACCATATTAATTAAGTTGTAAAATTGCGCAAACATGATACCACAAAAAGTTATGTACACTACATTACTAGAAATGAATAGTCCTTAATGATTTCTAAAATTTTAATATTCTTTCAATACATATTAAAATATAACATAAATTATCTAAAAAGGAAAAATAACAATATATATATATACGGAGTATAATATAAACACACACATTTAGCTAGTTTAGAAACACATGAATACATATGTGGGCTATAAAATTGTTTGTCTATAAAAGAGATCTATTGGTATAGATAAATTATAAAAAATTCAAATGCATTAGTTTCGAATGATTCGGTCCGATATTTTTCGGTTCTCAAAATCTAGGACCGGTCCCGTACCCGTTTCAAATGGTTTGGTTTCGGTACGTGACAAATCTATAGAACCATTTAAATATCCAGTATTCGGTTCAGTAACATTACAGGACGGTTCGGTAACGGTTCAGGTTTTATGCCCACCCCTACTTAAATATCTCAGAAGAATATGACAATGTCAATAAACCCAAAGCCTGTACGCCTGTACCAAATACTAATAGGGGACTAATTTTGTGGACTCTGGTAACGGTACCAATATGCGCATTTCACTGGTTCACAAAGATGTTAAATTTTGACAAATTACAAAATACTCCGTATGTTAAAGCTCTACTCCGTACAATTTAATTTCTAAGCTTAGCATTTTTAAATTTAAAAGATTGCATGTAGAGAGTAACATTGTTCACAAGAATTGAAGGGTGGAATAAAAATGTATAGCTAGTTTCCGTTTATGACAAGCTTACTAAATTTGGGGCGTTGCACACAAACATTCAAGTAGGAAAAAAACAATAAGGATTTTTTTTCACTTGAAAGTTTTATCATTAGCATGAAACAAGGAAAAGAAGATGCAAAAACTCAGCATATGATAAACTATATATCTATAGCACGGGCACAGTTCGAATGAGAACAGTGTTTATCGTGAAAGCACGTGGAGAGTCAATTTTCACCTTAATGTAATGTACAATGGAGCACGTCTATTGCGTTTTTTAACTTCGATCACATCAAACCAATACTAAATAAGCAAGGTGACATTTTGGTAAATATTATGCAAACAAAAACAGTGCATCAAACAAGTTTTATTGTGCATCACATTGGGATAAAAGTGCTTATTCTCACGTTCCCACGATAAATATCATTCTTTGATCTGGAATCTCTATAGCTCAATTCTTATTTATATAGTATCGTATTTATTACTACGTAATTGATTGTGAGCAAGCAATGAGTGGATTTCTACGAAAGAAATCCCCATGAGGGAGGGATAATAATTGAGTTTATGAGGGAGCACCAAGGTAGGACGCCAGTCGCAATATATCACTAAACACCCCGGCAGCTGTAACCTCCGCTCCGGCTCCAGGCCCACGCACAATAAGCGGCTGCGTTGCGTATCTTTCGGTTGTGAAGGCAATTATGTTGTCCGACCCAGAAAGCTGTGTAAATGGGTGACCTTTCTTGTATCTTTCCAATTTCACACTCCCCTCCCGGCGGCCTACGTCAACCACCCCAACATATCTCAACACCTGCCATCACCCATATCCACCCCCCTTTCATTATTCATATATTCCTCCATTTAACTCGATGACAAAAAATAGTACTCCAAAGTTGGTAAAAAAAATTGTCTCAATTTAATCTACCCTTAAAGTAATAATGACGGCACAATGTAAAATAGCATTTATGTACTCTACAATAAAAGCGGCATTTCAAGAAGTCAAGAAAAAAATTCATTTCCTCAAAATGTGTCTTATTCAAACTAGGACGTTTAAATAGGGAAGTAGGGAGTATCAACTAAGAAAAAACTAGTTGTATACAAAAAGTGTACACTTTGTGTACATAGGCAACTCGTTCAGAAAAGTCACCACTTGTCTGCAATTATCTATGTACAAAAGTGAGTATACAAAAAGTGTATACTTTTTGTGTACAACAAGAATTACTCATAAAGTAAACTAAAAATGACCAGGAGAAGAGGGAGTCTGTCTCTGACAGTGGAAGTGTGACAGTAGCAGAATAGGATAAACAAATCATCATATCCTATTGATGCACAGCAAACAACTTATTTAAGCACAACCGGGATAGCAATTTTCCTCGGTTATCCTATCATAATGTGCCCACCAAACGGGCCCTGTGTATCTTTTCTTATATCAAAGTTTTGAAGATCCAACTTCAAAACGGCTCAATGCAGAAGTATACAATGAATGATATATGTAAAAAAACATTTTAATGAGTGAAATCCGTACGGATAAGGGCAGACCAATAAATGCAAGTGTTCACATAATCTGACTACTCAAATATGAAATTAAGAGTGCTTTATTATCTTATCGAGTTGTGCAGTTATTTCTTTTTACTGAAATGTTACCATTTGGCTACAACTGATATGGGGATAACTATTACTGTATTTAAATGTTTCTTACCTCCCCGGCAACTTCAGCTTCCTGCCTTTGCTTGGCCAAAATTTCATCAAATTGTGGCAGTTGCTGCATGAATTCATCAGCTGATGCACTAGCCTATAAATAATAAACCATTATTTATCACTTCAGTAGAAAGTTATCACTGTACAGTTGGAGTCCATTTGGAAGAAAGATGACAGGGAAAGAAACATGGAGGAAATAGATGGAAAATTTGCAAGGAAAGAATATGTGGGGGAGGGGTAAAAACTGGTTTAAAAATTATTTTGTTTATTTTTTCAGTCATATCTTTACATGGTTTTATACTTATTGAACAAGTGACCTTGTGGTATGTAATTTTCCTTCATACTTCCGAGGAAAAAGTGGTAGGGAAACGGGAGCTAAGAGAAAGGATTTTTTATGATTGGTTTTACCTCGGAAGTCATCATAAATGAAAATGATGACTTCCGAGGTAAAACCAATCATAAAAAATCCTTTCTCTTAGCTCCCGTTTCCCTACCACTTTTTCGGGTTCAAAATAGTTTTGGTGGTGTATCAACATAGCTACACTGTTACAACTAAAATTACCGTTAATGGCTCTGGCACAAGGTTCCTAACTGAGATATCTGAAAGTTCTAGCTTCAATCCGCATTCCCTTGCAAGAATTATCACCTGTTGAATTATCACACAGAAAGCTAATCAAAATAGAAACAGTTGCGTATTCTGATGGTTAAAGAGCTGTCCAAAACATTGATTCCTTGTAAACTAAGAACGAATAGACAGCTCTGTCAAATGGATAGACTGGATAAACGTTCACTGAGTAAAGTTATTTCACTTTTATCGAGTAATGTTAGACATAAACCACTGCAGTGATGGTGGTTAGAATATGCACTCCACCAAACCCAAAAAAAGGAAATGGAATAAGAAAATATTTAATAAAAAATCATGAAATGAAAAATTTACTCGAGAATGTAGTCAATGTACACAATAGTAGTAGTACTATTGTAGATCAGTAGGTGGAGAAACATATGAGAGACGAACAACTAATACCTTTCGTGCAACATCTGTTCCAGACAGGTCATCCCTTGGATCTGGTTCAGTATAGCCTGCTTGTTTTGCCTCCTCGACCACTTCACTAAAAGTTCGTGATCCCGTAAAGTTGTTGAATATGTAACTTAAAGTTCCACTGCAGACATTTTTTATGGAAAAGCAGTTGAATATGGAAAACACAAAAGGTCAGAAATAAAGGTGAGCTTCTATTACTTTTTGTGTACATCGACTACATTCTCGAATTTAAATTTAAATTTCACACTCAAACTAGACATAAGAATCAAGACTGAATTGGAAGCTTCAGTCAATCTCCTTTCTTTGACGTAATAATAAATTTCCAAGGAATGTTTGGGCCAATATGTAATATGTTTATAGTGGCATTGCAGATTGATATCTACGTATAAAATATCATTCTGAAATGCGGTCTGACAAACCTGAAAATCCCCTCAATCTTTAATATTTTGTCTCCTGTTTCAAGAAGACCTCGCAATGTACTAATTATTGGCAGACCAGCTCCAACAGTAGCTTCATAGAAGTAGTGCGTATAAGATTGACGTTGAAGAGCTCTCAGTTTTAAATACTGTAAAAAGAAAATGATCAAAAAATTAGTTTATTAATTACTTAATGATGCATTCTCATTAAGACAATTGTCAATCTTCCGAATGAAAGTAAAAACAGCTTTTTGTATGAAGGTCACAATTGGGCAGGATATGATGAAGCAATTTTTATAAGGCCAATTCGGCACAACTGCACAAGTATTCAGATAGGAGGATTATACTGCATGTCTGCATCATATTTATACAACATTTCATTTGACATCAGACTAAGATACCAGATAATACACACATTTATACAGATTACCCTTCCATATCATATTGTATATGTTTATTCTACAGATCTATATGCTCTTTGTTGTGATTTTGTATAAAAAAAAGAAGCCCGGTGCATGAAGACATCTCCGCAAGGCGAGGGCCCGGGGAAGGGTCCCACCATAAGTGTATATAAAGGGCTGTCCCACCATAAGTCATTACCCCTGACACAGCTTCTAAAGGACAGTTTTCAATGGGGGCCAGCTGCTACCAGTGATTTTGAGGAATTGAAGAGAAGAATGACCACTTTACCAGTTCTTGCAGCCCCAGATTTCAATAAGGTGTTCATAGTAGAGACTAATGCTTCCAGGACAGGTCTGGGAGCTGTTTTGATGCAGGAGGGGAAGCTCATTGCTTATATGAGCAAGGAGCTATCTAAGACGAATCAGAACAGGTCAGTTTATGAGAGGGAATTAATGGCTATTGTACTAGCAGTCCAAAAATGGAGACCATATTTACTGGGAAGAACTTTTGAGGTTCACACTGATCAAAAGAGCTTGAGATTTTTGACTGAGCAAAGATTGATGGGGGAGGAACAACAAAAATGGACTTCCAAGTTACTGGGATATAATTTTACCATAAAGTACAAACCAGGGGTGGAAAATAGAGCTGCAGATTCCTTATCTAGAAGACCATTCTTAAACTCCTTATCCATTGTCACTTGACAAGAATGGGAAGGGTTGGAAGAAGAGTTAATTGCAGATCCTAAATGCCAGGCATTACTTCAGAATATCATTTCACAGCCAGACCAATATCCTGAATTTCAGATTACTAAAGGGTTACTATACTACAAGGGGAGACTAGTATTACCAAGAACATACCCTAGAGTTATCAAAATATTGAATGAGTATCATGATTCTGCAATGGGGGGTCATTCAGGTTATTTAAGGATTATGAAAAGAATTTCTAACTTGTTTTATTGGCATGGTATGAGAAGGGATATAAAGAAGTATGTTGATGAGTGTACTACCTGCCAAACAAACAAATACCAAGCTCTAAAGCCAGCCGGATTACTACAGCCATTACCTATTCCTCAAAATATATGGACTGGCATTAGCATGGATTTTGTTGGGGGTTTACCTAAATCACAAGGAAAGGATACTATCATGGTCATTGTGGATAGATTGACCAAGTCAGCTCACTTTCTGGCTTTGTCTCACCCATTTAATGCCCAAGAAGTGGCTGAATTATTCATAAGGGAAGTGGTAAAATTGCATGGTTTCCCTAAAACTATTGTTAGTGACAGAGATAGTATTTTTCTGAGTACTTTTTGGTCTGAACTTTTCAAGATGGCTGGAACTCAACTCAAATACAGCACTGCTTACCATCCTCAAACTGATGGTCAGACTGAGGTAGTCAACAGGTGCTTAGAAACCTATTTGAGATGTCTTACAGGGAGAAAAGCGAAACAATGGGTTAAATAGTTGGCTTGGGCTGAGTTTTGGTATAATACCAATTATCACACATCACTGAAAATGACACCCTACAAAGCTCTATATGGTCAGGATCCACCCATTGTGACTAGAGGGGATGCTAATCTTACAGCTGTGGAAGAAGTATCTAAACTAACTGCTCAAAGAAATATGATGATTAAGGAATTGAAAGATAATCTGGAAAGGGCTCAAAACCAGATGAACTAGCAAGCAAACAAGCATCGGAGAGAAGTTCTGCTGGAAGTGGGAGACAAGGTCTATCTGAAGATTCAACCCTACAAGCTAAAAAGTTTAGCTAAGAGACTAAATCAAAAACTAAGCCCCAGATACTATGGCCCCTTTGAAGTGATTGGAAAAATAAGCTCTGTAGCTTTTAAGCTCAAGTTGCCAGAAAATAGCAAAGTACACCCAGTGTTTCATATTTCACTACTGAAGAAGGCCATATCACCTACAACTGATTTCCAGCCCCTACCCAAATGTCTCAGTGAAGAATGGGAGTTACAGGTGATATCTGAAGAAGTGCTGGACTCAAGGTTGAACAAAGAAGGGAAGATGGAAGTGCTGGTACACTGGAAGGATTAACCACAGTTTGAGGATTCTTTGGAATCATTGCAATCATTGACAGAACAGTTCCCAGACCTTCACCTTGAGGACAAGGTGAATTTCGGGGGGAGTATTGATAGGCATATGGTGCAGCAGCCTATTCAATATTTTGATAGTCTACAATAGGAGAAATAAGAAGTCTGTTATTAGTTAACTAACTAGTTAGTTAGTCTCAGTTTATCCTTGCGTGGATAATAGCTAAAAATAGAAGGGTGATAGCTAAATAAGGCAGGCTGTTATTTCTGTTGGCTTGAGATTTGGAGAGTGGGCATCTCGAATTGTCCCTAGCTTGTATACCTACTTCGACTTCCTCTCTACTCAATAAACTCATTGCGATATGTTCTTAGTTGATTTCCTTAGAATTGCTACTGTTTTACTGAGAATTCTACCAGTGTTCTATCGGACTACTCATTTAATTAATGTCTCGCTGGCCCATATGCTTCTTTCTACAGTATGGAATCCCATAAAAAGCTTCCGTAACAGAATAAATCCATTTTTTATTAGAACAGTTACAGAACATTATTTCCATCATTTGCAGTGGAGCCAAAGACTCACTACTTTTTGGCTTGGTAATATGATGGAATAAAGCAAAATGGCTCACTAAACTATCTGTGTTTCTTTGTTATGAAGTAACAGTCAGTCCATGCAATTGTCGACGTGATTTTCACTATGGGTCATCCCAAAACAGTCTCTCTGTGCTTTAGTACAAGGATAAGACTGCGTACATCCGACTCCCCCTTACCACACCGTAGGTGGGAGCCTTTGTGGCACTGGGGTAATGATGATGATGAACAGTTACAGAACATTAACAATGATACTTATCCCAGCGTCAAATCTTAACACAAATGGACTTTTACCTGATTAAGTGGTCCTGAGTTGGCCTTTTTATTAGGAGTAATCACGTGCACTCCTCTTTGCAGCCAATCGTAATAATGACTTGCAACATAAGAGTCTGCAGTGCAATCTACAAGAACAGTGTTTGGGAAAAAATGATTTTCACGAACATGCTGAGCAAACTTCATCAAGTTGGCAGCTTCTCCTTTTTCACTGAGTAGTGATTTCCATTTTGCCAAGTCAACGCCCCTATGAACAGGGGTAAGAATTGTTACTATCACAAAATGGAGAAACTTGAACAGGATTACTCGAATGCTATCATTTAATGTCACAAATTAAATTGGGGGGAAATTCCCGAAATAGGAGTAAATAGGTTTTGGAATTTCAAAATAGGACTGTTATATTTTTCTTCCCGAAATAGGAGTAACGTGGCAGTATTTACTGCCATCTGTAGTCATTATGTCAAATAGTTCCAATACTGGGCATAAAAAATGGCAGTATTTAGTATCATTAATGATAGTATTTTTCAATCATGGCAGTAACGACTCATATTCCGGGAAGAAAAATATAATAGTCCTATTTTGGAATTCCAAAACCCGATTACTCCTATTTAGAGCAATTCCCCATTAAATTGAGAAACATGAACAAAATTTAACTCAAATGCTATCAACTCAATGGCACGAAACACATGAAGCCGATATTGAACTTCACTCAATAGATTTCAATCGCACTACTAAAAAAACTAGTATTTGATCCTCTCATCAAAGCCAAAAAAAATGTACAAATGCTCCATAAATAAACTGTATTAGAAATAGATATGAAATAAAACCAGCGCATTATCAAGAACAATATAGAAATCATCTTAAAACATTAAAAGGGATGACATAGAAGGAAAGACTACATGAAAATCATTAGAATCCCAAAAATTGATTTGCATACAAAGAGGCAAAGAGCTATCTGCCAACCATGGTCATGATGAAAACAGTTAAATATTCAGCATCTCTTTTTTTAAGTATATCTCCAGAACTTTAAGTGGGTGAGAGTATATGCTAGAATTAATAGGCTTAGCAGCAATGCCCAAAGTAACATAAACTTCCAAATAGATTATGTTGTGAAGGGAATTGTAACTCCCCAGGTTTAACATATGTCATTAAGGAAACTAATAACGGCAACCACACTTAAAAAACAAATAACCTACAATAAGAGTTACTAAGTATACATCATCACTAGTTTCCTTAATTAACACAGGGTCCTTTACTATTCAATTTAATGCAAGGTTACCCTGAAATACTTGAATATTAGCATTGATAAATGACACACTTCATATATAAACGCAGCCTCAATTTCAAACCAGCATTAAGTCGTGATTATGAATTTCCAGTTAATATGTACCTACTATTTAATACATAGCAAATGATGTCTGAACACGGGATTTTGAACTCAAAACAATCTTTCCAACGAGATATAAAACGCTTGAAATAGAAGAACTTACAGCAAGATATGATCAAATCAAATACTTAGCGTGTTAAAACCAGCAATTCTTGATGTGTGTTTTTTAGCATATACTACTATGTGACTAGGTCCCGAGGAGAGAGAGTGTTCGTTCATCAACATGATGGCAATGTGCATTTTCATCTTAATTAGTTTGTTAAATCATATTTGCTCTCCCATACTCTTGGTTATTGATTCAGAGTTCAGACTGTTTTAGATCTCTAAACCATTCGGAGACGGAAAGATGACGCGTGAAGAGTATGTATTCTCTTTGAAAGAGAAGGTCGACATTAACAACTTCGTAGAAGGTGTAGCCCTGGGCAAAGGAAAGAAGGATCTGACCGGAACCGCTTTGGAGTCAACAAAAGCCAATCCTTCTTTACCTGTCCGTTCTGATCTTCCTATAGGAAAAGCATGCTCTTCTCTTACATCAACTGAAATTGTCAAATTCTTGACTGGCAACTTTTGTCTATGCAAAGCCCGGTCCAACGATACTTAGCACGGGGGTGGCATTCGGAGCAGCCTAGTGATGTTGTATATATGCTGGTACAAAGCAATCTTTAAAATGACTGAATGATTACATTTTAGATTTGAACTTGGCATAGGTTTCATTCTTAGGCCTAGTTTAAACATTTAACGATCTTAAAACACAAAAAAATACTGCTGCTGATTTAGTGATACAATATTCTATCAGTGTTAAAGTACTTACTCATCACACAATAGCATTTTCCTTGATCCGGTAATACCCATAACACGCAAATCAATGTTAAACTTTTCCTTTAAGAATGCTGCCTGAAATGAAAAATAACAATGCTATGTATTCAACGGGTGTTCACTATCAGGAGGGTGAAATGGTAAAGAGAATAAAAGATATGTTTGATATAGAAATTCTAGAATTCAATATTGGGAATGAAAAGGCCCCACCAACTAGAACATAAATTTATTTTAAGAAAATCAAATGAACAAACACCCACACAAAAAGAGATTCCACAAGTGTGTGTCTGTTCTCAAAAAACAAAATTACACATTCATTTATACTCCCTCCGTGTTCTATTGTTTGCTAGAATAGGGTTTGGCACAATATTTGAAGGAAGAATAGTAGGGGTAATGAATAGTGTAGGAAAAAGTAGGAGAGAAGTGGAAAAGTATGAAAGAGAATATGAAAAGGTACAAAAGGTGAGGGTAATTGAGCATTTTTAAAGGGAACTTATACAAAAAAGGGAGTAGCAAAATTTAAAATACATCCCACAAAGGAAAGTGTAGCAAGCAAAAGAATACGGAGGGAGTATTACTTGTTTTATGAATTTTAAAATTAATTTTTATTCTGGTTCAAATTCTCATTTAATACTCAAGAAAGAAACTGTGTTAAGTAAAACTCATTTCAATGACTAATTATTCGGTTCCACTTCAAATCTTATATCCTAAATCAAATATTCGAACAAAATGTCCCCATTAATGGTCTACGATGATGAACATGAGAACTTGTTGAAAGCGCAAAGAATTACTTTATGAAAACATTAGAATCTATACAGCACCAGGAATACATGTTACTCCAAAACAACATCTTTACTACATCTTTACTGCTATTCAAAGATAAGATAGGATTAATCATTCAATTTTAACTCATGGGCCATGAGATATCTAAAGGGCAGACCGGTGCATGATAGTATACAATTGTTGTTGTTTATGTTTGTAACTTTAACTAGTTTTATTTGTGGTTATTTTGGAAATTTTACATTTTCTGTGTAATACATTATTTTTCTAGTTGTTTGTAATTTGTTTAGATTAGGATTATTCAGATCTTAAAACAGGTCAAGATCATCCAAAGGATCAAGATTGGACTCCAAATAATCAAGGAAAGTGCAAGGTGACAAGATCAAAAGAAGATTGAAAAAATATTTCATATACCCGTTCGGGTATAGGCAATACCCGGTCGGGTATTGAGTTGATTCGGGTGTCAAAATTAGAATCTGTAGAGACAAAAAAAAATTGAAGGATTTTGAAGAATTGGCTCATACCTGACCGGGTAGGCAGACATATCCAACCGGGTATGTCCAAAAAGTGACTTTCCGGGGAACTGCCTCAGATACCTGATCGGGTATTCTATATGCCCGGTCAGGTACCAAGCTCTGCCACCTCCAAACACCTATAAATACACCCCTTTTCTTTCCCAATAAAATCACCAATTCCTATATACTCTTAAGCTCAGATTAGTTAAATGTTTTCTTTATATTCTCTAGCATGTTTAGTCTTTAAATGAGGAGCTAAATCCTTCCATCTTGGTTTTGCTACATTGAAGCTTATGATTTGCAAGTTGTGGGTTATTTTCTTTAATCATCTTCCTTGAGTATTAATTACATTCCTATTTTATATCTCATATTAATATTTGAGCATTACTTAAAGGATCAACTAGTTTTGTTTCATATATTAATTATTACTAGAATCGATCGACGAATACGTTTGTTAATCGTTCGATCCTTTCAACGGTAGTAAACTTGGATTATTAATGCATGCGTCTCATGGTTAATAATCTAAGTGAAATTTCTTATATAGATTAAATCAATAAACCGCTTGTGTTGAGGTTATCAATCTCAATCGATTTCATCTTAAATTGTATTGCTATTATGGGTCAATATACGGCGCGTGTTCTATATTGACTTGATAGTAAGTTTTATTAATGAACGCGTCTCGCTATTAATAAGTACCCTCGATGAATTGGAGATACTCCACGATTGAGTATTCGAGAGGAAGATAGTTAAAGATATAACTGGGATCGACAAACATTTCATTAAGTGGATATAAGCAAAACCAAGTCTCCATCTTTAATTAATTAAATCACATAAGTCATTCAACTTAGGGTTTAAATATACTTTTAAGTTCAAACAACAACCTAAAACCCCCTTGTTACTATTACTTAAAAGAATGCTAGAAACAAGAACGTTCGAAAATGGGACAGCGACCTAGCAACCTTAGCATACTTTAACCTCAAACATGGTAACCATGAAACAAAAATGGAGCAATTCCAACAAATCATGATACAATTCCAACATGAGACAAAGTTGAGCATTCAAAATTTGGACACTCAAGTTAGCCAAATTTCGAATGTCGTAAACCGACTTGAAGCAAAAGACTCGGGTAAACTCTCATCTCAAACGGAGCAAAATCCAAGACAACATGTCAATGCAATCATGTTGAGAAGCGGTAAGGAGTTGCAAATAAAAGAAATTGAAGAAAAGAAAGTTGATGCGGATGAGGTTGGCCGCAACGAGGAAGTCAAAGAAAAAGAGGATGAACCAACAAAGACAAAGTTCCCTCCACCGATGTCATATGAATCACTCCCTCTATTCCCTGAGGCACTGAAAGACACAAGGAGGCAGGAGAATGATCGGGATATATACGAGACCTTCGCTCATTGTGAGGTAAATATTCCACTCCTTAATTTAATTAAAGCCTTAAAGGTGTTCCCCGTTTTGCAAAATTTTTAAAAGAATTATGCACAATTAAAAGGAAAAACAAAATTGAAAGGGAAACAAAAAGTAGAAGTTAGTGAACGTGTCACGCCCATCTTTCAGAAGAAACTCCCCAAGAAATGTAGTGACCCGGGCATGTTCACTATTCCTTGTAAGATAGGGGACACCATATTTTCTAAGACTCTGTTGGATTTAGGACCATCAATAAATGTCATTCCTTACTCCTTGTATGAATCCTTACAACTCGGTCCACTACACCAAACTGGTGTGGTGATTCAACTAGCGGATCGGTCTAATACTTACCCTAAGGGTGTAGTAGAAGATGTGTTAGTGGAAGTAAAAAATATGATTTTCCCTATTGACTTTTATGTCCTTCAAATGGGAGATGATGACCAAACAACACTCATCCTTTTGGGTAGACTTTTTTTGAAAACCGCAAAAACAAAAATTGACGTGTCTGGTGGTTCATTAACTTTAGAGTTCAATGACCAAAAAATAGAATTCAACATCTTTGGTTCTACGAAAAAACAAATTAAAGATCAATCTCTTTGTTTTTTAAATGTTTTTGAACCACAAGAACCAAATGTTTTAGTTAAAAAGGAAGCTGAGAAAATCTCAATTTTTGAAAAAGAAGAAAAGATTGAGCATGGGGAATCATCCTCTATAAGAGGGGAATTGTTGAAATTTACTCAATGTGAATTGAAACCACCTGCGGATGAGGTGGTAATAAAAAAGAAAGTTCAGCCTTACTGGAAAAGGCTGAAGAAGAAAATGAAACATGGCCAAACAAGGCCTTGATGAATGAAAAAAGGGATATTCACGATCTCACTTAAAACTGAAAATAAAATAAAAAAGAACGTCGTGCCGCGACATTAAATTAGGCACTTCTTAGGAGGCAACCCAAGTCTGTATTTTGTGTCTTGTTTTATTTTATTTGAGTGTAGTAAGAGAGAACACCATTTGTTTAATCAAAAACAAAATCAACAAAAAATAGAGTTTTTTTTCAAGCCTGAGACAAAATACCCGACCGGGTATTTCATACACCTAGTCGGGTATTAGGCTAAAATATGATACCCGGAAATAAAACGCCGGTTATGGCATAACAATGAAAAAATGAATTTTATCCGATCGGGTATATAAGATTTTACTCCCAATTTTATTCTTCAGTCCATTTGAACACACTCTATCTTGTCCAACTTTCAAATTAATCTTTCCCAACCCCCTATAGCCACGATTTTCCCTCTTCCGGGTATGTCCAGAAAAGTGACTTTCCGGGAAACTACCTCAAATACCTGATCGGGTATCCAATATACCCGATCGGGGACCAAGCACTGCCACCTCCAAACACCTATAAATACACGCCTTTTGTTTCCCAATAAATCAAAAATTCCTATATACTCTTAAGTTCGATTTAGTTAAGTGTTTTCTTTATATTTTCTAGCATGTTTAGTCTCCAAATGAGAAGCTAAACCCTTCTATCTTGGTTTTGCTACATTGAAGCTTATGATTTGTAAGTTTTGAGTTATTTTCTTTAATCATCTTCCTTGAATATTAATTACATTCCTATTTTATATCTCATATTAATATTTGAGCATTACTTAAAGGATCAACTAGTTTTGTTTCATATATTAATTATTACTAGAATCGGTCGACGAATAAGCTTGTTTACCGTTCGATCCTTTCAACGGTAGTAAACTTAGATTATTAATGCATGTGTGTCATGTTTAATAATCTAAGGGGAATTAATTATATTGATTAAATCAATAAACTGCTTGTGTTGAGGTTATCAATCTCAATCAATTTCATCTTAAGTTTTATTGCTACTATCGGGTCAATATACGGCGCGTGTTCTATATTGACTTGATAGAAAGTTTTATTAATGAACGCGTCTCTTCATTAATAATTACCCTTGATGAATTGGAGATACTCCACGATTGAGTATTCGAGAGGAAGACAGTTGAAGATATAGCGGGATCGACCAACACTTCATTAGGTGGATACGTGGATATAAGCAAAAACCAAGTCTCCATCTCTAATTAATTAAATCACATAAGCCATTCAACTTAGAGTTTAAATATACTTTTAAGTTCAAAGAACAATCTAAAAAACCCCTTTGTTACTATTACTTAAAAGAAAGATATTCATTTCCCTGTGGATACGATCCTTACTTCACTATACTACGTGTAAGTGTTGTATTGAATATTATTTTGAGGCACACAATGACTATAGTGCCGTTAGTGCACGAAGGCATCCTCGCAAGGCGAGGGTCCGAGGAAGGGTCACACCACAATGGTTTATAAAGGACAAGCCTTCTGAGATGTG